GAGAGAGAGAGAGAGAGAGAGAGAGAGAGAGAGAGAGAGAGAGAGAGAGAGAGAGAGAGAGAGAGAGAGAGAGAGAGAGAGAGCGCTAGGTGTCGTTGTTGGGAAGGGAAAGCATCCAAAGCCGTTCGCGCTGCGTGCTGAACAGGACCGGGTGTGCTTTTGCTGGCCAGCATTTACCATGAGTGATCGCTATATCGTATTTAATTTGGCGTCTGATGTACAGACGTGATGATCTGTACCAAGCTCCTCGACGTCGACGTCAAGTTCGGACTCTAGGTGGTTGCAGTGGCGCCATCTCAGTCAGCCTTGTGGGCGAGCCTCTTTGATTGGGTGCTCTTCAATGCACTCACACTCTGTGCATTCTGAAGATTGCGAGATCGTGCTGAACCGAGTGTACCTCGCTGTGCACATATTCCGGGAGCGTTCGCAATACTCGACACTATTGATTGACACTCTCAGAGCCGGGCAGCCTTATCGCCTGCGGCCCTACGGCGAGTCGGTGACCACAGTCGTGACGGCGTATCTCTGTCGGAGCTGAGCCTCGGCGTCCCCGAACAGACTAAGTGACAGAGGCAGCGACTCCCCTTATGCGCCCTATCGTCTCTCGTAATGACTGACTCTTAGTCTGTTAACTCGACTCACTCTCAAGTTTAAACTCAAGTTCAATTGAGCCGACGTCAAGCCCGCAGGTTAAACCCCCCAAGATAAGGCAAGTTAACCCCCAAGATAACCCCCAAGTTTAGCCACACGCTTAGCCACAAGTATAGCCACTAGTATAGCCACAACTTTAGCCACAAGCTTAGCCACACGCTTAGCCACAAGTATAGCCACAAGCTTAGCCACACGCTTAGCCACAAGTATAGCCACAAGCTTAGCCAGAAGCATAGCCAGTATAGCCCAAGCTAAGGTCAGGAGTATAGCCCAAGCTTAGGTCAGGAGGCAAAGCGCAGGACCCAGTGAGGGTCAAGCGAAGCTATAGCTAAACCAGAGTTGGGATGAAGGACTCAAGGTATGCTGAAGTACGGCATCGCTCAACCTAAAGCTAATGTGCACAAATCTCAAATTCAGTGCAGATGAGTTAAGGGGGGTTAAACGCACGAAGTAAGAAGAGCAAGGAGTGCCACGCGCTAGTGTGGCAATCAGTGGAGCGCAGATCAAGCTGTGATTTCGTGTTTGGCTGAGTACTATTAAATAGTATTAATCGTATCTCACGTTAGGTTGACGTTCAGCTCTATAGATTTTTTTTCCCCCTGAAAGTCCTTTGAAAAAAAAAACGTTTTAGGAGCGGGTTAGCCTGCCGCCTAGGCAGGCAGGCAGGCAGGCAGGCAGGCAGGCAGGCAGGCAGGCAGTTCAACCCTCAAGTTATGTAGCCGTCATCGTATACCACGGGTCGTGTTGACGTAGGCGTCGGAGGGTGGACAGAGAATAGGCCTCGGCTGTATAGAAAGGAGTTGGACGTTGTTTGTTCTTTGCCGGCCGGCCTTGGAAGGCTTTGGAGGTGACATACACAGACTATGGATATCGCTTAGAACTATAGAAATCGCTTAAATTCGTCTGTTTTTTTGTCCCCCATCTTCTTCTGTGGGTATGGCACACTCAGAATCTGCTCGTGGAGTTGATTGCTACTAGGTGGGCTTTTTTGACTGCGTGGAGTACTTTTGTTGATGGACTCCCATGCATGCAGTTTTCAATTGTGTAAGCCTGTCAGCAGGTGCATGCCAAGCCTGCATGCATGCATGCAGGCACATGCAGGTCTCCGTTGAACCACAGGACCTGGTGGTCCACCACCACCACCACCACCATCGCTCCTGACGGAGAAATGCCGAACCTGCCATGCTAGTAGTTCAGCCAGGCAGGTCCGTTCCCTACCCTTATTCCTGACGAGCGAGTAGGACACAAGGGGGCGTGGACCCTTCCTTCCTTGCTTGCTTGCTTGCTTGCTTGCTGGCTGGCTGGCTGGCTGGCTGGCTGGCTGGCTGGCTTGCTGGCTTGCTGGCTTGCTTGCTTGCTTGCTCTCTCCCATCGTGCTTATCTTCGGGGTAGGTAGGCAATCTCCTTCTCCTCCTCTTCCTCATCCTCCTCCCCCGCCCTTCCTTGCTTGCTTGCTCTCTGCATACCTTTGGAGTAGATCGGCAACCTCGGCAATCTCCTCCTCCTCCTCCTCCTCCTCCTCCCCCTCTTCCTTGCTTGCTTGCTCTCTCGCATATCTTCGGAGTAGATCGGCAATCTCCTCCTCCTCCTCCTCCTCCTCCTCCTCCTCCTCCTCCTCCTCCTCCTCCTCCTCCCCCTCTCCCTTTCCCGCTTTCTCCCCCCCATCTTCCTCCTCCTCCTCCTCCTCCTCCTCCTCCTCCTCCTACTGCTGCTGCTGCTGCTGCTGCTGCTGCTGTTGATGATGATAATGCTGCTGCTTGTTCTCTCCCTTCTCTGAGCATTGGAGAGAACGGACTTAAGGCGAGTCCGAGCGCATAACCTTTGGCCTGCTTGCTAGCTAGCTTCCTTGCTTGCACTGTGCTCGTGTCGGCAGTACACCCGCGTAGAGAAGATAGGCACGAAAGTGCTAGTGCTAGCAGCACATAGGGTAACCTAGTTCTTTTTCCTCAGTGACAGCATGTCCAAGCATCCCCGACTGATGGAGTACCATCACGAGAACGCTGTGCAGCACACGGTTTGGGTAGATTCACTGCGATTGCTTCAGTTGGAGCAGAGGCTGGCGGATGCCCGACAACGAGTGATGGAAATGACGAGGAGAGAGTACACTGTCAGTCGCTACGACACCAATGCTGCATCACCAGCTAGTGATCCTGAAGCATATACAGCTGGTGGTGTCCCTTTTACACATCGAGCTCCAAGCAGTGGTGGTGCTGTCCCTACCCCCACCCCTCCCCCTCCCCCTCCCCCTGGCAGGCAGTCGCGAGGAAGAGCTGGTGCATCTAGTTATGCTCGCCGCAGCAGCTATGGCTCAGGCTCCACGATCGTCTACGGCTCTGACCGAACACTAAGCGGAGGCGGAGGCGGAGGCGGAGGTGGAGGTGGAGGTGGTTTCAGAGGCAATAAAGAGAACCACTTTTCTAGCAATAACAGTCTGTGCGAAGGGCTCCTCTCAGCCGTGGACAAGTTTGTGTCCGCGTCACATTCGTCTCGGGCATGTGGGGGACACCCAGGTCAGCAGCCGCAGGCTGGTGTCTTGAACACCACATCTTGGGAGTCCGCTGGGGCCAGACTTGAGGCCTAACCCTCAATCTGCTCAAGGCAACCTCTTTCTTTCTCTTTCTCTTTCTCTTTCTCCTTCTCTCTCTTTCTCTTTCTCTTTCTCTTTCTTCTTCTTTTTTTAAGCAATAAAGGGAGACCGCCTTGAGATATCATACCCGCTGTGTTTGGGTTCGAACTTAGGTTAGTATTTCAACACTGCTGGTGCAGCGTGGGTGCACCAGCTGAGCTACGTTCTTTCTTCCACCGAATACAACGGCCGGTCATTACTTAGCCGTATTTGAGGCATCTTTCAGTCCATAGATACAGCTATAATGACCGTACTTCCGTACGTTGTGATCGGGTGAAGAAGGTAGGTAGGTCATTTTTTTTTGTCAGGGCAACGGGTTACCTCCCTCTTCGCCAACACAGAACGGCCATGGAGCGCACTGAGTTCCTGCGCCAAACATTCTACAGGTAAAAAATGCATCTGACTGCAATAATTATTACGGCCAGACCTGGATGCATCTGACCGCAATCGGGTCCAGAGTTCAGTCGAGAAAGTCCCGGTGTGAGTTGGCCCTACGAAGAGGAGGAATCTCCCCTGGCAAGCTATGTGGTTCTACAACTTCTACTGTCGATGACGTCTTTCTCTCTGTGAAAGACGTCATCGTGGCTATCAAAGACTTCTCTGTGGTACTACCTCTCAGTGAATCCATTCCATTATTCGGAGTATGGGCAGCGCCTGGTAGTGCTACTTCTGCCGTTTGTATCATGAACATGGTCGACAACAAGCCGAGGTTCATCCTGCCTTGGCATGAGACCTATGTGTGTTCAGACTTCAAAATCTTCTTGACAGTTGGTCGTCCACGGAACTGGTCGCCTACTCCTCCGAAAATCTCGGGCTGGGACATCAATGGCCTTAAAGTTTGTTCCTTTGTTGCATTTCAGGCTGGCCGTGTAAGGGCCAGATCCCACTAGCCCCTATTGATCATTTCTGACCGTTGATCTTCGTAATCGAGGGTGAAAAATGAATAATCCAGGGTAGTGGGATCTGACCCTAAGGGTGCCACTGGGCGGTTTTCAGCCAGCATTCACCCCCCACACGGCCGTAACATGCCGCAAACGGGGCCCGAAATGGCTGGAGAGGCCATCCAAAGGGAGGCCCCCGCTCCTGTTCCCTTATTTTTTGGCGCGCAGGGCTTTTCCAGGCTCCGGAAGACAAGGGGGGTCAAGGTAGTGGTGGTTGTGGAGACTCTGGGGAGCGCAGACTGCCAACCTTGTTTCTGGACAAGGGAAGCCCTCAGTTGCCCTTTAATAAATTTTGTTGTGGTTGTGGTTGTGGTTGTTGTTGTTGTTGTTGTTGGAGAGGGGAGGACATTTCTGAGCAGCCTCCCGGCATAAGGGGGACAAGCCCTTCCTTCTTATCTGTGGGGCTGCAAGGGAAGCTCTTCTTATCTGTCTGTGGGGCTGCTAGGGCCAACGACTCACGGGAAGGGCCAGCAGGCCCTAATCTCAGGCCTAAAGGAAAATGGCCAGATCACTTTTGGAAATTTTGGCTCACGGATAGTCGGGCTGATGGCCAGCTACCCTCCTCCTCACCCAATAGAACTGCAGGTCCTTATGGCCGCATCTGGACTGGAAGGCGCCCCAAATACAGATATAACGACTGGATGTTCTGTTCGGGTGAGTTGTTGGTAATGCCCTTGGAGGAACAGAGAGGGGATTAGGGAGAGAGTGCGTTGGTGAGGAACAGATCTTATCTTATCGTCGCAAAGAGGACCTCCAGGATGGTACTTTCTTCTTTTTTTCTTGTTCAGGCGTAAATTCCGCATAATAGGTGGGAGCAGCATTGTGCTCTTCGGGATTGTACATTGGCACAGTCTAGGCTAGAGTAGATCATCAGAGGGGCCGGTGAGAGCAGAGAACTGCTGTGACATTGCTTTTTTTTTTTTTTTTTTTTTCGCAGTTGCTGTTGTATTGATTGCTCAGAGGCGAGAATAGAGAATAGGGCTTTTCATCATCAAGGAGATTTCAACATAATTGTCAATTGCTCAATTCTTGTACATTTCTTTGTCCTTTTCTTTTTTTGCTTGTCATCCTTGCCCTTTCTCTGTATCGTTCAATCTTGCTTCTTTTTTTGGCTTTTTTCTTTTTCTTCTTGCTTCGTCATGCCTGCTGATATGCTGGCCTCCATGTGCATGCTACCTCCTTCACTGGAATACAACGCCCCGTAATTATCCCTGCACCTGGACAGAAAATCAAACCAATTACGGCCATAACGACCCAGCGTTATATTCGGGGGGGAGAAGACGGTAGTCAGGAGGGTTAGTTAAAGTTCATTATGCTTGAAAATTGAAATTTGAGTTTCTCCAGTGCAGTTTCCTTGCATGGAATGCGATTCCAATCCTTGCATGTTGCTGTATACAAAGGGCCTGGTTCCACACCACTAGAAACACTAGAAAATACTTGAGTTTCAAGGGCACCCTAACTCACGGAAGGTGATTAATTTCCCCTAACTCCTTTTTCGTTCCACAACCCCTTGACGAAACCCTTGAGAAGGGCGTCCTTGAAACTGAAGTGCTGACGGCATTGCACCAGGAACAGTGGTGATTGGTGGGGGGAAAAAAAAAAGAAAAAAAAAGGAGGTCCGTATATTACCCATTTTGTAGGGTCCAGCCCTTGCGCCCCAAGTAACCTCCCAAGGTACCCTTGGGATTTTTGTTGATTTGGAAGGGTCACATTTCTGTTTCAACGGCGGACACTTGGCGGCGGGGATGTGGAAACAATTAACTATTTCAAGGGTACATCATTAGGGCGGGTTAGAAAGACGCTTCCTAGAAAAACAGCAAATTCCAACTGGTGTAGAACGAGTATGCTATTAATTAGCACAACAAAAAGCAGTTCCG